CCACTGTATTAGGGCTAAAAACCTTATCAACTAATATGTATCTACACACTATGATATGTTGTCTGCTTTTGTTCATTATGGTATTTTCAGCATTTAATGTAATCCTACATATTTATCAACATGTTTAATAAATACCTGCTTTTGTTTTTGGTGATACTCATTTAGCTAGCTGAATTTTAATAAAGTAGTATCTCAAGATTTGTGAAATAAAGATATTTGATACAGACCTTTGAATCGGAAGTACATTAAAAATTTGATTTTCTTAGGAAACCTTTTTCTCTCCTCTCTTCTCCCTTCCTTTTTCTTCCCTACCCTTTCATTCTCTTTTTTCTTTCCAAAACTAAAGCATTTGTTATATGTCAAGTGAATGCAATGGACTCTGCATGCTTATGTTTCCTCCAAACCCATATGCTGAAATCTTAATTGCCAAAATAATGATATTACGAACTGGAGCCTTTCAGAAGTGATTAGGTCATGATTAGGGTGGAACCCTCATTAATGGTATTATTGTCCTTGTGTTAAGAGACTCTGTAGAGCTCTCTTGCCCTTTCAGCAGGGTGAGGACACAGTGAAAAGACAGCTATCTAGGTGGAGGGTACTCACCAGTCACCAAAAACGTGCTGGCACCATGATCTTGGATTTCCCAGACTCCAGAAATGTGAGAAAGAAATGTTTGTTGTTTATAAGGCACCTCGTCTCTAGGATTTTTTATAGCCACCTAATTAGACTAAGACAAACGACAATTTAAAAATGTCTACTGGCAATCATCAGATCAAGAGAAACTCCAGAATAGTCAGAGAACTATACATCTCTAGAATTTGGAACCAGTTAGGGTAATAAGGAATACTAATAGCTTCAGATGGCATAGTTGTATATGACAGAGTACAAATGAAGTTATATTAAACTTATGAAGGAAAAAAGACAAATTGTGGTTGATACATATTCTTTTAAAGGCATGAAAATACTGAATATGGTTTTCTAACATATTTATTTATTTTTGAGAGAGACAGAGGGTGAGTGGGGGAGGGGCAGAAAGAGAGGGAGACATAGAAGCAGGCTCCAGGCTCCAAGCTGTCAGCATGAATTCTGATGCAGGGCTTGAACCCACAAACCATGAGATCATGACCTGAGCTGAAGTTGGATGCTCACCCAACTGAGCCACCCAGGCGCCACTGAATATGTTTTAAATGCTCACTAAAATATCAAAATAAAAGCCAGGCATGGTGCTTAAAAGGTTGAGCTGTAGTCTTGGGGAAAATTCACTATATTGAAATACCACGTCTCCTGATAATATCAGATATGTGATACCTAAATAGAATTATTTGGTAACTACTACTGGCCAACCTTATGCTTTTCTGGATATGTTTAGGATAGGATAGAAAAGGTTTTGCAGTATATGAGGGAAGGCTGAAGGAACACATAGGGCATTGCAGAATAACATAAAACTACATATAAGTAAACACTAGGAGAAGGACGAAGGGAGTGGTGCATCTTATCTGGAGAATCTGAGGGGGGCATCCTAAGGAAGTGCAGTCAGAGGGTGAATCCAATTTGGATCAAAAGAGGGAGGGCAGGAAAATTTCTCAGGAAGGTAAGGGGAGGCAACAGAAAAGCTAGTTGTGGGGTCAAGTGTGGCCTGCAGCAGCTGTGGAAAATAGGGTCAAAGATTTTAAAGTAAAATTAGGAAGGACTAATGGACTATTCTCCTAATGTACTACCTTCTTTATTCACAGTATCACTTATCTTGAAGACACTATAGTTATTGCTTATTCTAGAGGCATTTTTAATCTTTAATGATACCCACTACTTTAGAGAGAGACAGAGAAAGAGAGAGAAAGAAAGAAAGAGAGAGAGAAGTAAAACTGCCTTCTTTCAGGTCACCTTGGTGACAAAACACCCAACTCTAGAGTTTCCATTATATTCTGATATCTAACATGAAATGTAAGGTCTTCTTGATTACCAGGATCCTATAATCATGCTACTTTCTTTCTTTTAATTCTTATGCCGTGTCATCTTAAGATCTTTTACCATGGAACTTGAACTGGTAGAACGTCTAACCATTGTAGGTTCTGGTACCTTCCACCACCTTCTCTGTAGGCCCTTAAAGAACAGCAGTCATGTGATTAAAGCCTAGGCTCTAGGCAAAATTGCTTGCATCTGAATCCTGTTTCTGCCACATATTAGGAAACTACCTAAATTCTCTGATTCTGTTTCTTCATTTTAAGTTAAAAATGAGGATACCAACAGTATTTACCTGGAAGGATTAGGAGTAGTAAATAAATTGATGCAGATAAAGCACTTAAAATACCACCTGGCATGTGGTATTATAAAAAGGTAAGCTATTACTATTATCTCTAACAGAGATAAAAAATGTATACCTAATATTTAGTAGAACTATACTGTTCATATTAACATATTAAAATTTTTCATTATTTCAAATTTAAGCTGCATTTTAAGTGATATTTGGAATAGCAATGTAGCTTGAAAAGGACCTCAAGGATCTTTAACACAGTTTCTTTTCTAATTTCATAGCAAAAGCCCTGGTGTGGAGTAGATGTACTATCTACTCAACAATGTGTACCATGTGAATGAGTGACATTGTGAAATGCTAAACAGAGAAGACAAACTGGTAATTATTATACTAAGTAGTGGCAAGCTGGGTGCTTTGGGAACATAGAGAAGATGAGTCTAAACCCTCTGTGGATAGAAGTAAATCTATAAAATACCTAGAAGCCATGAAACTCCGATAAGTCTGAAGGATGCACAGGAGTCGAGCTGGTGAAGAAGAAACATAAAAGATCTAGATAGTTCTTTTATAACAATTTTTTTGGTCAAACTACTCAAAATAGGGTAATTAGTAGAATGATGCTATTGATATTTATAGCATAATGTGCACTGGAATTTTACTTTATCACCTAGTGTTCTAACTGGTATCAAATTATTACCAATAGGCAGGGAGCCTAGTAAATTCAGATTAAGAACATACACCTTCAAGCCTTTTTGAAGTCTATTTGAGAAAAAATAATAGCTCTCTTCTACTGAGTAGTTATCATGTACTGGCCTTATGATGAGCTCTTATAAAGAATTAATTCATCTAAACCTCACAAAAAGAAACTTCTCTTCCTGCCAAGGTGATAAACTGACTAAGTAGCAGAGCTGGGATCTGACCTTAAGGCTTCAAGTGCATGCTCTAAATTACTGTGCTAAGTGAAGTTCCGGATTGATTACTCACAAAACAAAACAAAATTGTCTTGTTTGTATAGTTTGAAGAAATATTCAGAGAAATTTACTTCATTAATGATACTGATTCAGGTTCCACTCTGGGACTTTGTAAACTGTAACACAAAATGCAATTTCTAAGTTTCCTTTTGACACTGCAAGGATGAGTGCATCACAAGATGTCTTGCTGGTCAGCACTGTTCTCCAACTGAAAGTACTTTCACATCCACATCTTCATTTGCTTTTTCCCCTAGTGGGTATACAAAACTACTTGAATAATGCATATTACTTTCCATATTCCTTCAGAAGAACATTGCATACTTCAATCATTAAGATGGATTCCTGGTATGGATTCAGAATTTAAGCAAAAGAAAGAAAACCTCATTTGTAAGTGCCTGGAATAATATTCAGTATCTAAATGTATTATATAAATCCAAAAACATATTAACAATCTAGTATTCATCAAACCAAACCTTTCAAATAAGAAAGTAGAGTACTCAAATTAACTCTTCCATTAAACAGCTTTGTTTTCATGCTTCCGTCACAAAAGGAGTTGGATGCGGGAAGGCCATCTAGGTGTGCTGTTGCCTCCCCTTAGCTATTAACAGATGTGGAGATCAGGCCACTGTCTCCCTCTACCGTCACCACTAGCCACTATGACTATCATTCTCTATCACTCTGGAGAAAACCCCTTTTATGCTTTTTTCCCCCCAAGTCCTTTTATTTACGCATATCCCCACTATTGACAATGAGCCACAGTGATAGGTCATTAGGTTGCCACTAATGTTTTCTAGTCATTTCTGTATTCTTCCAAATCAGAGGATATAACTGACTCCACCAGGAAATGAAATAGAGGTCATTACAGCAGCAGTGACTTTCAAGCTATTTGCTAAATTTAGCTGTCCAATACTTTCCACTCTAATGAAAACTGTGAACTACAATTATAGAATGTTGGAACAGAACAGAAGCTTAAAGGTCACCGAGTCCGATACCATCATTTTTCTGATGAAGGTTTGCAAGCCTAGACATCGCCTGTGATTTGCCTGAGGGCACAAAACTTGTTATGGTAGAGATGGAACTTGAACTAAAATCAGCTCAGTCTGGGGCAACAGTGTCCTTACTATATACCACAGATGCTCTACTTCCCATGGTCAGTCTTACCTAACCAGATCTCACAGCATAAATATAGCTGATACTATTGGTTGTGGCTTACCTTCTGTGACCATTCATCAATGTGGTACCTGAATGTGAAATGGCAAAGGTGTCTGACTTACAAGTTGCTACAAGAAAAATGAAATGATTTCATACCCAAACCCTGCCCCCAACTGTATAAACTTCCTGCTTTATGCTCATCAATAATTAATGGCCCATCCCTGCAATACTCAGAGGGAGCTTACATTGCACTTTTGAGCAGCCGGTTAGTAATGTACAGTGGATAGAGCCTTTCTTTCAAATCCCAGGGCAGCGGGTCCTTCAAGGCTAGCATCGCATTTTCAATTAGCTGCTGAGTGAATGCTTGGCATGTGTATTAGTGAAGAAGCACACAATTAGCTTATTGTTCCTTTCTGTATTGTGCTGAGAGGTTCCAAGGGATTGGTGGGGGAACAGGCAAGCCAGGCATCACTGTGGAGTTGAAGAAGGGATTTACTCAGACCTCGGCATCTTCACTTGCTCGCTCTGGAATTACAGCTATTTATTACGAAGTGTCCTGTGTGGCTGGTGGAGTGTGCCTAAGGAAAGACATCCCAGACATCACCTGGGGTTAGCCTTTCTGAGCCCTTCACGTCTCTAATTCTCATCATTACTATGGAGCCCAACAGTCCCAAAAAGATACAATTTGCTGTGCCTTTATTCCAGAGTCAGATTGCTCCTGAAGCAGCAGAGCAGGTAGGTGGGGTTGGGTGGGGACCAGTTCCTGTATCTAAGGTAATATGGACATATGTTCTTATTAACTGAAAGCTTCTCTACCGCTTGAATTTGCCTAACTGTGTGACCTTCCAGAGTATGTGAATGAGAAATAAGTTGGTTTCCATATGGCACTTGTATCTGAGTTGCATTGGGTGACCTATTGGCTAAAATGCAGTACTTTGTTTGATTAAAAAAAAAAAAAGATTAGCCCCTATTAGGGAGAAAAATAGTTATATTAGTGATTCAGATTTGGATCCAGAAATCTGTTTGCTTTTGCTTACTAAATTAATATGTTCAACATTCAGAGAAACTTTAAAAAATTCTCAGAATTAGCAACCTTTTATTTCATCATTTATAAAATAAAAATGATTTATTTAACAGTGAAAACATTAAACCTTCAAATAATTTTAGATTATAGGGTTAATAATTTTTAAAGATTTTTCATTATATATTCAAAGCAGTAATTATATGTAATACATGATAGATAGGATTTTAGGTATATGTATAATGTAAAACACCTTTTATTCAGATATTAAAATAGTATCAAACATTTACTGGATTCCTTTTCTATGTCTAATATATCTATGCATCTATATTTCTGTATTTGTCTCTTACATGTAAGATTGGTTTACATCTGTCTTACCCTTCATATTCAGATTTAGACTCTTGATGCAATGTAACCACTTATAAGACCATTTGTGGTTAAAATTACAACAGAAGAGAGGCAAATTTATGGGGTCGTCAATCTGATTTGTTAATTTCTTAAAATCTAAATTATCCCTGAATCTTTTTACAAATACTTTATACAATGTCTTAAAAATAACTACTGAATCTGGGACTCATAACTTTCTAGGATGTTTTGATAACCTGAAGTAGATCCTCCCAGACTTGGGCCAGATAAACATAACCTTGAATATGTATCTATGTTGAAAGGGACATTGGTTTTGTCCTGCACAAAATGTCATTGGTAAATTTTATCCTATATCCTACTGACATATGCTTTGAGTTTACCTGTATATTTAAGAAATCAAGAGCATGTTAGAAATTCTAATAATAATACATTGCTGTAATTCTTAAATAAGAAAAAAACCCACATCAAACCTAATAGTTTTAAATTAATTACTCTCATAAAATCCATATTCATTCTTTATTTGTCCTAAATATTTTACTGGGAAATAAGAAAACCTTATTAATTGAAATTAAGAACTAATGCCATTAAATTTTACCTGCTAGAAATTTAAGTTTTCTAAGAGTCTTTACCTTAAATTTAAGAATAATGGTTCTTGAAACCATCATCAATGTTATGAGGCTCAAAGAGAGCCATTAAAATTAGCAAGTCATCCTCCTACCTACACTGTTATTTCAGTGGCGTCACTGGATTATATACAACTATTTCTTTTCTGTGGAAAGGTACCGTTTTAGATCAAAGAAGGTGATACTACCATCTGACAGTTCTATTCTCTGTCTTACTATAATTGCAAATAGTGAGAACCTACTGTTTGCTCTCCAGAAATTAGCTTTTTTTATACTGGGAAAAGAGGAGGATGGAATAGCTTTGCAGGCTGTGGAGTCACCTGGGGCAGTGTCTGACTCTCACTGACCTCAGCTGGGCCTTTGTCGTTCACAGATCAGAAAAAGAAGACCTACACCAGCATCACTTGTGATTCTCAATGAACATAATCCCCCAGGTAAAGAAGCATGATGTCTTTTGCACTGATGGAACAGATAGAATTGTTTGAAGAACATCAAAGAGTGTGTCATTGCCAAAAGATTTCAATTTAGGATTTTAGTCAGTTATAATCTAACAAGCTAGTCTATAAAATGGATCATAAACAAAATCAGAAATATAGAAACTGTCTCAGTAAACAGTCTGCTTTTCCTCTAGATAATGACACAATGGTGAGGATATGTTATAAAATGTTTTGTTGTTTATGTAGAGTCTGGTTCAGTGCTTATTAATGAGGCTGGTGGAAGGACAGTTGTTTAATTAGGTTTCAAAGCTCAATTTACAGTCCAAGAGATGCTTATATCTTTACTGAGTAGGTTTTTTATTTATGAAAGGTTGTCATGGGGTGGGCAATGAGCTAGCACTGGCTACAGCTTTGTTGCTGATGTCATGTCTGAATAATGCAATTGACAAGTAACCAGATCAATTTTCAGCATTGCCCATTTGAGAGCCATTCTGAAGGGCTACATCCATTTGATGAGGTTTTACTTTCCATTTCCTGTAAAAAAGTAAATCTGCCGTATTCCTGATAAATGACTGTGATCTGCAATACACAAACATTATTATATACTTATTGAATGGAGGTGATTTTAATCACACATTTAAGTGCTGTTTCTAGAAATGCAATTAAGACAGCAGAGGTCATGGAATTAATTTGTACACAGGCAGGACTTGGTGTTGGGTTTTTGCAGGTCTAAACAATACAGGTGGACAAAAGGAGTTTGAATAGTAGAAACATAATAAGTCTAAGCTCAGGCTGTAGTGAATAATCTATTTTAAGAATACCGAGGCAAAATAGTCTTTGATTTTTTTTCAGATTTCTTTTTAATTAGAGAAGCATACATAAGAAAGCAAAATTCTAATAGAATATTCATCATTGAGCATAAATACAGGAAGGTCTTTGGCTGATGGGAAATCAAAACAAAAATATTGCTGATGAAAATAGAATTTTTTTCTGTTTCTTCTTCTTTAAGGTGCTATAGCATTTAAAACTTATTCTCAGGGGTGCCTGACTCAGTCAATTAAGTATCCAACTCTTGGTTTTGGCTCAGGTCATGATTTCACATGAGGCTCACATCAGGCTCTACACTGGCATTGCAGAGCCTGCCTAGGATTCTGTCTGTCTGTCTGTCTGTCTGTCTCTCCTTCCCCATTTGGTCTCTCTCTCTCTCTCAAAATAAATAAATAAATTTACAAAAATTATTTTCAAATATATTACCTCACTTAACAAATGTTAACTTATTTTGGTTTAATAAGAGGTGCAAATGGTATGCACATATAGTTTATAAATAAATACAAGTAAATCAACAAATACTAACATCTCAAACTGAATGTAATTTTACAGCAAGTTTCTATCACTCTCTTTGCTCACAGTGGTAATTTTTCCACAATGTCCTAGAAGTTAACTCCCTAGTCATTGTTGAAAGGTATTGCCCAGCTCCATTTTTAGGTGTCCTGGTACAGGTGCTGCTACTATTTGAAAACAGTGAAGGCATGTAAATGACCCTTGTGGCTCTCACTGAAGCTCCCAGAATAGTCATTCATGTTTTTTAAAAGCCAAATGTGCCATTTACAGATGAGGAAAGTAAGTACCAGGGAGGTAAAGTAATTTCTGTGGAACTTAATCCACTGTAAGGGTCAGATTATACAAACAAACTCAGATAAAGGTGATTCTAAAGCCCATGCATTTTCTACTGCATGATGCTGGCCCTGCAAATTTCAGTTTGCATTACAAAGTGAATTCTCTGTAAGTGAGACCAGACTTAAGGCCCTATTGACAAGCAAACTTAAACTTTATTTTTTTTTAACATAATTTATTGTCAACTGGCTTACATACAATATCCAGTGTTCATCCCAACAAGTGCCCTCCTCAATGCCCATCACCTATTTTCCTCTCTCCCCTAGTCCCTCATCCACCTTCAGTTTATCCTCTGTGTTTAAGAGTCTCCTGTGAAGCAAAACTAAATTTTAAATAAATCTTTTATCTAGACCACTAAATTTAGTAGATTAGGACTTATACTTAAATATCCCTGTGCTCTAGAAATCTTTTTTCTTACCAGATCTCCTAATCACTAGATGTCATTGTCCCATTTTCCTTATTGACTCCATACTTCTCTATGTTTTTAAGCACAATTGAAGAGAACTTAGATGCAAATAGCATCTCACCAAGAACCAAGTCATTTTAGTAGTATCATCTCCTTACATCTTTATTCTCCTTTTGGAAACCAGAATAGTTTAGAAGAGAGTGATCAGCCTATGCCTGTGTATAACAATGTATATGCTAACCAGAGATTTTTGGACTTGGGTTCCTGCAGAAAAAAAAAAAAATCACTTAGATAGCTTCCCTAGTAAAAATGATCTAAACCATAATTACTGGAGGAATAAATTTAAGGACTCAACAAAAAAATAGCAACAAAAGAACAAACACCACAGTGGGCCAAACCAAAGTTGGATACTAATCTCTATTATCCATGTGGCCTTGGTTGGGTAAGAGACAACAAACATCTCCAAGCTTTATTTTCTCATCTATAAAATAGAGATAATATCCATCCTTTCTACTTTACAAGGTTGTTGTAATGACTGAAAGATTTATTGTGAACACACCTTAAAAACTTCAAAGTGCAACAAATGTTAGGTGTCATTAGGTGATATGGTCTGGGATATGTTTGCATGTGATATTTAAAAGGTAAGAACAGAATTTTCATAATTTCATCTATACTAAATATTTCTGCCCAACCCAACAATTCTTTATGTTCCAGATATTATCTGACCATTCCCTACCAAACAAAACAAAGCAAAATAACAGCAAGAACAAAAACCTCAAATGTTAAACGACTTTTTTAAAGCAATTGTATCTTTTAGTCCTAAAAAGCAATATGTGCTTTCACAAATACAAATTGTGTGCAACACTAAATCCTGTTAAACTAAACAAATCTCTTTAATTTTACTGAGATTCCCCAAGAAATAACTGAATGTTCTTGGAATCATCTGTCATTAATGCTGTTTAAAATTAAAATCCCAAAAATCTTTATTGCCAATTAATGCATCAAAGAAAACTAAATTTTCCATTAGAGAGACATAATTAACAAACACTCCCAATTCATATAATGAGACAGGTATATTATAATCATTATTAAGTTGATTAAACATAACTTCCTTTTTTTTAACCTTTTCTGGAGTTGGCAGAAATAGTCAAAAAGTATTTGAAAGAATGATTTGCTTTAATTTTTAAATGTTTATTTATTTATTTTGAGAGAGAGAGAAAGTGCATGAGCAGGAAGGGGCTGAGAGAGAGAGAGAGAGAAAGAGAGAGAATCCAAAGTAGACTCCACACTGTCAGCACAGAGCCAGACAATGGAGATCTGAGCCAGATATGAGATCATGACCTGAGCCAAAATCAAGAGTTGGACACTTAACTGACTAAGCCAACCAATGCCCTTCATTTGCTTTTAGATTCAGAAAAAACATATGGATTGTCTATATCTAATCGAGGGGAAATAGAATAGAAAGATATTTTAAGATGTAAATCCAGATTGTTTGTCAAAACACATAGATGAGGTAGGCATTTGATTGGCAGGATTTCAGGCACAGCAAAATGTCTCCTTAGTCCTTTACTAACCAATGGCCCAGAAATCTCAGTAGCAGAAGCACTATGGAAATAGATCCATAACATAACCCATTTGGGATATATCATCCGTAGGCATAGATTAACTATAATTTAACTCAAAATAATGGGAAGTATAACTAAAAATTCTGAATTGAAGTCATCATGCTTGAAAAAATTTAATAACAAAAGGTGTGTCTTTATGATAAAGAAAGCAGAAACTATGAGTGTGCTGCGAGGAATGACTCTGAAGAGCCAGATGGCAGTAAAAAGATACTTGAAGCTTAAGACGTACAGTAGAAATGCACCAAAGACAAATATCACTTTCTCAAATGTTTTCTGGGGCTGCCAGTGTGAATGACCTTGCAACAAACTGCTTATTTTTCTGTACTTTCAGCTCACCTTCTGATCGGGGGATATTTATAATGAGCTCTCAGGGATTATACAATAGAACTTCATTGTCTGTTCTTATGCTGTGTGCTGTTTGCTTTTACTCTTGTATAATCTGTAGTTAACTGGTTTGGTTTCTATGTTTTTACTTAGAGGAATACATACAAATCCTCTCTATTTAGAAGTAAAGGGCAAGCAATTCCACTTTCTGCAGTTTATTTCATCACATTTCTTGATTTACTTAAACATTTCTTGTGTTTAGTAGACCTATGAGAAGACTGTATATTTGGCTACCAGTATTAGAAATCTAGAATTGGAAAGAACTTCAGAAAAGACCTAATCTAACCATACATCTTTGTGAAAAATGCATAAATCAATGTAAGTCCCTGAAACTTGTTCCATTTTATATATGTCAAAGAAGAATCTATAACTACCTCTTTGTCAATTCCAGATGCAATAATTTTGGATGTTAGAAAATAATTTCATCAAACTTGAGTAATACCCCTTTATTCTTCATTATTTTCTTTTCTAAATTGAATACTGTCAGTCCTTAGAATGGCCTTAATGAACTCTACCCAAGTTTTCCTTGTCTTTTGGCCTTTGGAGCCCAGAGCTGGACATGGTCTTCCAGTAAAAAGCTATAGGCCTTCTGAATATTAAAGTTTGTGGTATTCATTCTCTTCCACTTACTTTAACCAGAGACAATATAGATATAATTAAACTTAATGGACCTGATGCCTATTACATAAAAGTGAACCGTAAGAGGTCCAGAGTGTAGTGAAGATTTGGGTAAGTACCCAAGAATTTTGGCATCATTTTAAAGTTTGTTGTACATCTAAAAAGTGGGACCAGAATTACAATGTAAAATAGTTTTATTTTATTTATTGAACTTTCTATCATAGCCGAATTTTGGAGAGACTGACTCTCTTTTTTAAAAATTTTTAATGTTTGTTTTTGAGAGAGAGGGA